CGTATGGAACCAAAAAAGAGCCAGCATAGCCAAATAAATACTAAGCAAAAAGAACAAAGCTGAAGGCACCACATCACCTGGCTTAAAGCTATACTACAAGGCTACAGTAATCAAAACCGCATGGTACTGGTACCAAAACAGAGATATAGACCAATGGAACAGAACAGAGTCATCGGAAGTAAAGCCCCACATCTACAATCATCTGCTCTCTGACAAACCTGGCAAAAACAAGCAATGGGGAAAGAATTCTCTGTTTAATAAATAGTGTTGGGAAAACTGGCTAGCCATGTGCAGGAAGCTGAAACTGGACCCCTTCCTTACACCTTATACAAAAACAACTCCAGGTGTATTAAAGATTTAAACATAAGACCTAAAACCATAAAAGCTCTAGAAGAAACCTAGGCAAAAGCATTCAGGATATAGGCATGGGAGAGGACTTCATGACTAAAACACCAAAAGCATTGGAAACAAAAGCCAAAATAGACAAATGGGATCTGATTAAAATTCAAAGCTTCTGCACAGCAACAGAAATAATCATTAGAGTGAACTGGCAATCAACAGAATGGGAAAAAATTTTTTCAAACTACTCATTTGACAAAGGGCTAATATCCAGAATCTACAAAGAGCTAAAACAATTTCACAAGAAAAAACAACCCTATCAAAACGTGGGCAAAGGATATGAACAGACACTTTTCAAAAGAAGACATTTACGTGGCTAGGAAACATGAAAAAATGCTCATCATCACTGATCATTAGAGAAATGCAAATCAAAACCACTTTGAGATACCATCCCATGCCAATTCTAATAGCAATCATTAAAAAATCTGGAGACAACAGATGCTGGAGAGGATGTAGAGAAATAGGAACGCTTTTACACTGTTGATGGGAGTGTAAATTAATTCAATCATTGTGGAAGACAGTGTGGTGATTCCTCAAGGATCTAGAAATAGAAATATCATTTGACCCAGCAATCCCATTACTGGGTATATACTCAAACAATAATAAATCTTTCTATGAAAAAGACACATGCACACGTATGTTCATCATGGCACTGTTTACAACAGCAAAGACCTGGAACAAACCCAAATGCCTGTCAATGCTAGACTGGATAAGGAAGACATGGCACATATACAGCATGCAATATTATGCAGCCATAAAAAAGGATGAGTTCATGTCCTTTGTAGGGACATAGATGAAGCTGGAAACCATCATTTTCAGCAAACTGACTCAAGAACAGAAAACCAAACACCACATGTTCTCACTGATAAGTGAGTGTTGAACAATGAGAACACATGGACAAAGGGAGGGGAACATTATACACTGGGATGCCCACCTTCAAGCTCTTAAATTCAATTATACTTTGGTAATTTTTATGACATAAATTAATAAATTCCTTTCTTGTTTTTGTCAATTAGAGATAAAGTTTATTTCTGTCACTTGGCACTATGAGATCCCTGACAACATCAAATCCAATTCCTGTATATAATGTTTCTATACTAGTATATTTTTCGCTGTTTATAGCTATAGAACTTAAATTTTTGAAAAAACAATCTGGGACTGAGATTTTGAATCACACAATTAATGTTATAGTCAGTTTGCTCTGCCATAACAAAATAACATAAACTGGATAGATTAAACCACAGAAATTTATTTTTCATGGTTCTAGAGTCTGGAAAGGCCAAGATCAAGGCACTGGAAGATCCAGTATCTGATGAGGAGCATTTTCTGGTGTGCAGACAGTTGTCTACTGGCTGTATCCTCACAAAGCAGTGAGAAAGAGATTATCTCTCTGGTGTCTCTTCTAAGGGCACTAATTCCATTCAGAGGGGCTACTCCCTCATAACCTAATTGCCTCCCCAAAACTTCACCTCTAGATACCATCACATTGGGGATTAGGTCTTAAACATATGGATGTAGAGGGGGCACATACATTCAGTCATAACCATTAAAATAACACATGAATTCACAAACTTGGTAGGTCTTGTGAAAATTAGGAGAGTAGAGCCCCAGTTACCAAGTATAATGTATTGAAGTAGATGGAAGTATTAGTGAATACTTCACTCCAAAATGTTTCTGAATTTTTCCCACTGCATCTCTTTTTCATGATGAAATAATAATTTGTTTGTTTAGTTTTGGTAATGGTTTCCTTAATTTCCCATTCTTTATTATTGCTTCACCATAAACAAAATTCAAGTTGACTGGAAATACAAAGTACAGCCAACCAACCAAGCAACCAAACAAACAAAAACTTAGAACAGGCTTCCCTGAATGTATAGCAGAGTATATGACTGGTGTTTTAGGAGCTGAATCTGGCCAGTGAACTTTAGTCCTTTAAGTAGAGGAGGATTGCACATTGGGTATTAAAAAAAATTGCCAACATAAAAATCAGGAGATTTTACACATGAATCCACATATCTAATTTTTTTTTCTGTAAGTCCCAGTATTGGATTACCCTTGGATTTTGTATTCTTGAATGACAAAAATGGATTTGAAAGAACAGTGGAAAGAAGGTGGGGCATGTATTCTTCAGTTCACTATTAGCATCATGGTTTTTTCGCAAACTTTTTTATTTTACTCATGTGTGAAATGAGGCTCTACAGGAGCATTTTTAGCCATAATGAAAACAGAAACCTTCAGAAACATCTGTAGATAGGTATTTTAATTCTAATTACCCATCACATCCTTGTGTTTATAGGCAAAGCATAGATGACTATCATTTCACCTATTCACCCCTAATAAACTTTAAAAAGTATTTTCTGCACAAGCGTAGTTGACTAAGAACTCCAGTGAGAGGCATCACACAGAAATTGAAATTGCCTTTTTGAGCTAGAAAAGGTGAAAACAGCTGAGCTTGGTTTCAAACCAAGATGGTGGCAGGTAAACTTCTAAAGCACAGTGGTAGCTAAAATTTTTAGAGATAAATAATTATTTGATGAGAAACGGTTAAATCAGAAGTCATTTCTGTTTGAGTCTAATGATCATCTCTCAAAGAAAAAAATTAATCAAGATAACACCAGGGTGATTTTTGATATAAAAATATAAATATATTCCTGACTGGTGAACAGAGCTCTGGCTCAAGATATATCATAAAAAGTAATGATCCTCTGACCTCCCAATTTCTATATAAGAAGAAGTTTATGAATTCATATTCCTTGAATGAAGAGAATAGTAAAAGACCTATAACAAGGTTCCTGTTATAACATCATATATCTAATCAGGCACAATTACAGGCGTAAGCCACAGAGCCCAGCCTGAGAGTATAAATAGGTATACATTGAACTAATCCCCATATTGCCTCACAGCTGTAGGCAGTAAGGAGACCAAAAAGACTGACTAGAAATCATTATCGTGTCTCCTTCTATAACAAAATAATAAATCAAAAACAGCACTGCCTTTATAGGGAAATGCCATGAATGTTAAAGACTAAAATAATACGAGGGTGGTGAATCATATTATAATATTACTCTGTTTTCTTATTTGTCTTTGCAGTTGCTTCTTGGATAATAACAATGGATTACTACAAATTTAGTGAAGTTGTGATAACCTATTGCAGGTAGTACTTTAAATGGGGTCTCAGTTCATTCGTGGTATGTGCTTTACAGACAGTAACCTGGTCAATGCATTTTTTTCCATTCAAATTTAAAAACTAAAGAAAGAGAATATAATAGAATAGTAACTGAGGCAGTAATTTCTGCCTTACAAAATAGAGGCTTTCACCTTATAGGATAGTTTCAAGGACAGTCTTACATCACAATTTAGTTTCAAAAAAAAACATGACTTTCTTACCATCCTATGAGTCATCATGCATGTATTAAATTGATGATTTATTCCTATGGATTCACAAAGCAAGATGTACAAAGTACCCTAGGTGCTTTGGGAAGTGACTGATGACAGAAGCTGGGAGATATATTTTATGAAGATACAGGAGCCTGCCTCCTCCTTTAATTCCCTGCAGACCCTGTAGTCTGAGTATTTTGACAGGCTTTCTCTAGATCAGAAAACAAGTTGTTTCTCCTTGTACTTCCTAACATAGAGAGAAGGCAGGGGACTCAATGCTAATTTTTTTAAGTCATAAAATATGTGTTTGGGTGTTATATGTTTATACATATATACACACACACATACATACACACACATAAAAGAGTGTTCTGAATATGCTATTCATGTATATAGAATACATTATTATTTTACACTCTATATATGTAGTAGGATACTAATATATATAAATTTCTTAGAATACCGAGCATCTAATATCTATCTAGATGGTCTAGGCTATGGGGTGAGAACCTTTTTCACTTGTTTGTTTTAATCTAGTGGATCCAATGGTTCATTAAAGATGGTGGTGTGGGGATTTTGGAGTAAACCTTGACAGGTAAACCTCATCTGGTGCTTTGAAAATATCAGAACAGGTCACTATTTTTATTTTGAGAAATAACTCCTACTTTGGCTCTGGAGGACACCGAATAGCTCACCATGGATACCAGGTTACTCTATTCTTGAGCTGATCTTTTAATGGTTATTATCTATTTTTCTAGCTATAAACTTAGGTCTAATCAACTGGATTGGACTCAAACAGGTCCAAATGGCATAAGTAAACTGCATAATCACGTTGATCAAACTTCTAGTGTGCCCACAACGGCCACAGTGTTGTTCTTCTCTGCAGCTCTGACTATGTCCTCATGGAAAATGTTCTACAAACCACTGACTTTAAATTAAAGATCCTGGAAAAGCTTAAAAATGCCTTTTGTGATCTGGCTGCTAGTGCCAGCCAGAAGTGAACAGTCCTAAAAATCTTCACTAAAATGTGATTGAAAGTGTCATGAAAAGTTAATGAAAACAAAATGTTATGTACATTACACACTTAACAGGATTATGTAAATACTGGTGATGAAATAACGACAGAAAATAAGGATTTTAATTTAAAGAAAACAAAATGTTAGCTACAAAGACTCTTAACAGGATTATGTAAATACTGCTGAACCAAATAATGACAGAAAACATTGATTGTGCCTTAAAGTATAATTTATTGTAAAGAAAAAAGTAAATAATCTCAGTCACTGCACACAATAATTTGAAATGATGGCACTTACAAAATAGGCAATTCAAAGACTTTTTAAACAGTTTCTATTAGAGAAACTTAGTAAAGACTTTAATAGCCTCTAATTAGGTGCCCTCCATATGGCATGACACAACTGGAATTTAGACAATAAACTCTCTCAGAAAATTTAGCTTAAGAAAAAGAATGCTATTCTATTAAGTAGATAATATAAGAGGAACAATTTCCTTCAATATGGGAGTTTGCTATTCTAAAACAACACTCAAAGCCTTCAGATAAGTTGATTTTCCATGATAGGAGAAATTCAGACAATGAAAATTTCAGTCATATCTGTAAATAGAAATAGAAATATGTGGTTAGTTTTATTAAATATTTTTGAAGAAAAGAGAAATTCTTATGATAAAACACATTTTATTATTGTCTCTTCATATTAGACAAGCTCATAATGTTATTTATGCTTTCCTCTGACATACATATCCATTATTCTTGGTTTTTAAGCTATAAAGACAATTTTATTACTAAATTTTATTTTTTGTGGTATCATTGAATATATGGCAAGGCAATTAGAGTAAAAGGCTTTCACATAGGTTAGAGTTTCATCATTATGCTTGGTTTAATCTATTAGAAGGGAAGTTTCCCCATTTGGAAAAGGAAACATACACACACACACACACATACACACACACATAATTAGAAGCACCAATGTAGTGGATGAAAATAATTAAACTTATAGACCTTTTCAACTGGTGTTGACAGGCAAATACTTGATTTCACTATGTGACTTTTTAAACGTGTCTATTTGATCACAAGAAATAGGATCATGGTTAGACACATAATTTCCAAACTTACCAAGGGTCATATCTGTGGCGTTCCTGAGAAGTGACTTGATTCTTCTGAAAGAACAAAAGTTGTTATAGTCATGTGATTAAAGGAAGTCAGCAATAAAGTTTTTCTGAAGAAAAGTCAACTTCTACCAGTTCAGTGTTTATTTTGCTCACAATACACTAACAAAGATTACTATATTTGACCACCCTCAGGGTAATAATAAATAAGGATTGTTAGAAAGTTTCCAGTAAGCAGAAAGGTTAGGATTTGAATTTAGTGCTGCTGAGTACTAAAATATGAGCTACATTACCTACCCAGCATTTTTGTATTTATCATAGGTATAACCAGAAGGAAGTCACTTAAAGATTAGTAAAAGTGCAAAAAGGATATTGTTAAATTACATGTTAGAAGCCTTCACATTTTTAACTTGAAAAGAAGTTGTTTTCTCCCCTTATTAGAATGAATTTCACTTACAGAATAGATAATGCTCTTCCACATGTTACTAAGAAATTGGTGAGTATTAGCTACAGGTGACAGAAAATATTACCAATTTTTGATTTGAGAAAATATTAGTCCTTTGCAGTAGGTGTTGATTTGCCATGTTTAATCTAAATCTGTTCTTATGGTATTATCTCTAGGCTATTTTATTTCCTTTGGTAGAATTTCAAGATGCAGTAATTTAAATGAACTTACCACCACTGCAGCATGACATTAGTTTTTTCATAATTCTCAGGGATGATGGGACTGGAGATGTCGGAAAATGGTGGGAAAGGAAGATTCTGCCTGATCTGTGGATAGTACCAAACAGCATAGGGGTAGGCAGCAAGTTGGCTGAGCTGTTGGAAAGGCTAGAGGGAAAGACATTAGAAAAGGAACAGTGTATGAGTGATTGCTGTTTTCAGTCTCTGAAAAATATTAATACATTTCATTCATTTCCAAGATGCCTGTTAGCGTCACAAAAAATGATTACTCTGTGAGGGAAAAGAAGAAATTAAAATCTTCTATGGTGAACCATGTTGAAGAAACTTTCAGAAGGTGCCCTTTTAAGGTGCCTGAGGGGCAATGAGTAAATTGCTTTTTAAAGGACGATATTTAAAACTGAACTCCAAGAACCCACATTACTCACACGTTCACTTATCAGGGCCCAGAAGAGAGCAGTAGCCTACATTTCACAATTACTTACTTTAAAAACTCATAGATATTTTTGGCATTTTGATCTATAATTTTCTTTAAAGCCACTGGGGTCAAAGGACAGGCCCTATACCCAGGGTCAATATAGCTGACTTTCAGAAATGCCAGGAATAGAAAGAAAATAATTCAATTCCAAGCCTAGTGTTCTTTTCAAACAGTAGAGTTTTGGAGCCCAAACTGTTTTCCTTTATATAATTTTGGAATAGTGGCCTCTATTGATTTATAAGATTATACTTAATTGTTTTTATGTACCAATAATTGCATTGTACTTAGAAACAGTTGGATATAATTCTCTACATATTTAGGTGAATGTTCTTTGCTGAAATGAGGAAAAACCTTAAAAGCATTTCAAGTTTTGCTATGGACAGTTGCCTATGTAAAGATTAAAACAAATATGACATTTGGATTATTTTTTAAGATATTTTTAACTCACCTCAAGATAGAGCTTGAGCTGGCCATGTTCCTTAATAGAGAGATAGAGAGAAAGAGACAGAGAGAGAGAGAGAGAGAGAGACAGAGAGAGAGAGAGAGAGAGAGAGAGGAAGGACGAGGGGAGAGAGAGAGAGAGAGGAATAAGTTGCTATGATTTGATGTGTTTCCCAAAGATCATGTGTTGGAAACTTAACAACCAATGCAACAGGAGGTGAGACCTTGAAGAGGTGATTAGTTCACAAGGGCACTGTTCTCACTTAATGCTATTATCACAGGAGTGGCCGCATCGTTGCAAGGGTGAGCTTGTTATGACTGAGTTTGACCCTCTCTTCTGTATTTTTTCTCTTCCACTATGGAATAATGCAGCAAGAAGGCCCTCACTTGACAGACACTGTGGCCCTTCAATCTTGGACTTACAGCCTCCAGAACTGTTAACCAAATAAATTTCTGTTCGTTATAAATTACTCAACCTGTCTTGTGCTATAGCAGCACAAAACAGACTAAGGCAATAGTTTAGTAATTTACAACCACTGAACACAATGTTAGGTCAAATTATTGCTACTCCAAACCTTCATTAACATGAAAAATGTATATATGGTTGTCACACTCCTTTTAAAAATAATTACATTGACGTGGTAGGTCATGCCTATAATCCCAGCACTTTTGGGAGGCTGAGGCGGGCAGACCACCTGAGGTCAGGAGTTTTAGACAGGTCTGGCCAACGTGATGAAAACCTGTCTTTACTAAAAATAAAAATTTAACTGTGCGTGGTGATGCCTGCCTGTAATCCCAGCTACTCGGGAGGCTGAGGCATGAGAATCACTTGAACCCGGGAGGCACTGAGCCAGGATCCTGCCACTGCACTCCAGCTAGGTGACAGAGCGAGACTCTGCCTCAAAATAATAATAATAATAATAATAATAATAATAATAATAATTACAAGGAAAGTTAAGACCAATTAACTCTTTAGGGCCCAAATGAAGGGAATACTTGCCTTTATTTTCTTTTCGCTTTGGCCAGTGAAAGTGATTACAGAATTTGAGAAAAAAATAAAATTGAGGGCAAAATTTGATACACTATGAGGAACTAAAAGGTTTTTTTCTATAGTTGCAGTCATATGGAGGAAGTTCCATGGCTTTCTTTACATAGTTGATTTCATTTTTTAAAAAATTAGCATGTTGTGTATAAATTGAGTCATTATATGAGTCATTATTTAATTCAGTGACTCTGAAGAATTAAACACCCAGTTACTATCTTTTTTTTTTTTTTTTCTGAGACGGAGTTTCGCTCTTGTTACCCAGGCTGGAGTGCAATGGCGCAATCTCGGCTCACCGCCACCTCCGCCTCCTGGGTTCAGGCAATTCTCCTGCCTCAGCCTCCTGAGTCGCTGGGATTACAGGCACGCACCACCATGCCCAGCTAATTTTTTGTAGTTTTAGTAGATTCGGGGTTTCACCATGTTGACCAGGATGGTCTCGATCTCTTGACCTCGTGATCCACCCGCCTCGGCCTCCCACAGTGCTGGGATTACAGGCTTGAGCCACCGTGCCCGGCCTCAGTTACTATCTTTAAATGTGAAAACACACTATATCACTGTAAAGATGAAGACATGGGAGTTTTGGAGGAGGAAATAAATTGATAGACACATACTATTTTTCT